CGGAAGCGAAGTAGTCCGTCGAAGAGGAAGTACGAAGAAGGTTTGATCAAGACTAGACAGTGTGTATAGTGGAAAAAATAGAATAAATAGAATGGAAAAGACTTTGTGCAATTCTACTGATCGGTTTGGAGGGTAGAGAATGCTCGTCAAAGAGGAAAGGAGTCTCCGTCCAGGTGTTGTCGTTATAATCCGACTGTTGATATTGATGCTACAGTCATCATCGTCGTCAGTATTGTCATTTTCATTATATTTGGCTTCCTGGTTGGCAGAGCATTCTAGCCGTATCTCGTTCCTAACTGATCTCCGACCAGAATTGCCAAATCGAAACACATGTCTTGTGACCTGCTGGTTGTTAGACGATAAAATAGGCTGAGGTTTGCATGTGAAAACCAACCTAACGAGGCTAATGAGATCTAGTAGCTGTGCCAAGCACGCACATACGCATACAGAGTGAAATAGAGTGAGGGAGTTGAGTTCATATGATTGAAACTGAATTTTGTGTGATTCGAAGACACTTCCGGTCTCGATGTATTGTGTGCATGCAATCGGACAATTTGGAAACTCGATAAACAAGAAAGGAAATATAATTTCCAATTGACAAATTTGTCTGGACTTTGTTGAACTTTCTGAGGCTGACTGTGAAAGATTAAGCTTCATTGACGATTCTCACCACGCGTAATGAGGAGCAAGGCAATATCCAAAAAAGAAACAAGAAATGAAAAGGAAAATTGGTGAAACCCGCCCCAGTGCAAAGAAAAAATGCGTCATCAGGAATGCTCAAAGCGACGACTAATGCTAAACCAAGCAACCGATAAGTTTGCCTCTTTTTAAAAGAATAACATGAAAGTAAAAGGTGCCATTTCCAGAATAGTTTGGACTCAAACCACCGATAAAAAGTGGCCAAGTAAAACCAGAAAAAATGCACATAAATGAAACAAATGATGGACTTACCCGAGCTACCTTTGTCAAGGAGGACTAAAAAAAATAAAACACGACCAAAATTAAACCAAAGAAATAGGTTAATTAAAAAAATATGCAGATGGCAATTTGGTACAACCTTGACTGTAAGCCTCCTTGATTAGCTCGAGCTCCTGATTGGTGGCCGTGCAGAGGATTTCGATCAGGGTTAACTCGTCGGTGCCAGCACCTTTCATTGCCTTGTAAAGCGAGTGCGCCAGAGCATAAAAATGATCAAACATCATAAGCGTGATCAAATTTTTGAACTGCCCGCTGGTCTCGCTCTTCAAATTTTCAACAAGGTCCTAGACAAAAAAGTAGAAGCGAAAAAAACGAAAAAGTCATAGGATGGAATGACGAAATATGAAGTGTAGAGAGGAGGCTAAGATTCATACAGATTCGAGAGGGAAATAAGAATGATTATTGTAAAAGTCTACCTTCAACAATTTAATCAGCGTGTGGAGATACGTCAATCCAAAGCGAGACACAAGTCGAATTTACTTCTTTGATGACGCAATTAGAACCCCTACTTGGGCTTGTCAGCCCTTCTTGAGTTTCAGATATATGAACTTGGCTAATTTGTGTGTTGTGCCAAACTTGTTGTTAACTATCAGCTTTAGCGATTCTCCTTATTTGTGTAACTTCGGCAACCCATAAGTTGTTGGTGGTCATGCATCCTTTTTTATTAATGAATTTATTGTCTATCCATTGATCTCACCGTTCCTATGCATATTTTTCAGGATTTCTCGTAAGATCCCATAGTCGGGTCCTTCTTTAGTAGACGATAGGTAGTCCTGTATTGCAGCATACATTCCATTTTCTCGGTACATTATTTCCTGTTCATTACAACTGTCTCTCCGCCTTTGTCCACCTGAAGTACCAATTGCTCATTTCTTTCTAGGGCTCTTTGTATCCTAGGAAATCTGTTCTTGTGCATTGGTTCATGTGTCCAGATTCTAGGAGTTATTTCCATCTCAATTTCCCGTTTTGTCTGCTAAGGGAACTTGTCGAAGATATTGAGGACCTCGACCAGAATGTCGTCTAGAATATTTCTGCCATTTTGAAGAGAAAAGTTTGGCCCTTTCTTTAGAATCGTAACGGTTTCAGAATAAGGGGGAAGCGATGATAAATTCATCAGCCTCGTATATATTAACTCTTCGTTGTCTAATAATTCCACATCTAAGCGATTTATCGTCCTGCTTTTTTGCTATTAAGTCAGAGATCCTACGTTATTTCTTATCGGCCATACTTTGCAGTTTGCGAAAATCCTACGGAGTCGGAATCCTGAGCAGATCACGCCGTCACTTTGAATTCACATATATACATTTAAATAGCTTATTCCTTTCCATATCATAGGCTTCATTTAACTTATGCGAGGAAGCCTGGTGAAGAATATCATTAACCCTATCTGAATGGAAGCATCTTTTAAAGTCACAAAATCCAGGGGTAATACCATGACGTTAACAACAGCTTAAAAGGCCAAATGGCATGATTGACTATCAATTTTATTCTTTGACCGACTGTAATTGGTGCATTGTTTGGCACTTTTACTACCATAGTTTAGTTGAAGTTGTATGGTCGCGGTCTCCTTTCGTTGTATATAGGTTGATTGACCTTGGTTTCGCAGCCTGCTCATAGAAGAATAACCTAACGGGACACACCTTGTCCGGAGTCTATAGTATGCATGATTATTTCCAGTCGGACCGTTTCGCCGGCATCGTAGTCAGCATCATCAATTAGTCTTGCCATTCTCAGCATAACCGCCTCGACAGAAAGTTAATCAACGGATTGACTTCACTTGTCTCTTTGACGAGTCGTAGCTTGGTTGCTGAGACTGGCAAGATTCACTGATGATGTTCTGGTGAAACGTCTGGGAATGTACCAAGTCTACGGTCCGACTCTCGATACGACCGTGCATACTATACACTCCAGAGAAGGTGTGTTCCTCTAGGTTATTCTGCTATGAGTGAGCTGCGAAGCCAAGGTCAATAAACTTATGTACGACAAAAGGAGACCGAGACCATACAAAATGCAACACCATCCTGGTCTTTATACCTTACTCATTTAGTTGCTCGTGGATACGCTACTGAAAATATGTAGGTAGGAATCTCAATTATGTTCCAAACATCTGTTCATAAGTGTTGGCAGCTGAACGTGACGTATTTTCGTTTTTGATTAGGTTTTCGAGGCTACCAGTTAATCAAATAAATGAGTTGTTTTCACCCTATTCCCTTACAAATGATGAAGGACTGGTAGCAGAATTTTCTCACAATCATATGAATAGAGCTGACGTTTCTATTCAATTTCACATAGCCTTGCTTTCCCATAAGATATTGTCATCCAGAGTGGTCCACAATTTCCACCTCGCAGCAGGAGTCGAATCATGACAGTGCAGCGTGTCATCTCGTCACTTTGACCACTGTGCCGCATTGCCACGAGTGCTATTGGGATTGTCGGTGATGCAATCTAATATTTGCTGAATAATTATTTTTTCGTTTTTAAGTAGGTTTCTAAGACTACCAGTATGGTAAAATGCCTAACTTTCCTTGAAATTTACATCTGTCCTGCTACCCAAGGGCACTCGTAGCAATGTGATGTAATGGTTAACGTGTCTAGATTATACGCTGCACTGTCATGGTTCGACTCTCGCTTGGGGTGTTGATAAGATCTATGCGAAGTGGAAACTGCAGTCCACTTCCGCATGGATGAGAACACCTTTTGGGAAAGCAAGGCTCTACTCATATCATTGTGGAATAAATCAACTATCAGCTCTTCATAAGCTTAAACGAAATGGGGCGAATACAACTAATATATCTAATTTACTGGTAGCCTAGAAAACTTACTCGCTTACATAAAAAGTGAATGTCTATATTATCAGAAACTCAGATGTAATATTATAAAAATCCAAGGGCCCGGGCTTCCATGGATTGGCTAAATAAGACGAATGTACACCAGACTACGGGCTGAAGTTATCACACTTAATGAATTGTCTAAGAGCGTACGGTTTCAACGGTTCTGAGTTAAAGTTCTGAAAGAAGGACTTAGTGAAGAGATATGAGTGTAAATCTGCTCAGGGGGTGAATTCAGGCAAATGATCGTGCTTCCTACGAGTGGGGTAGAGTGCAGTTTCAATGCTGAAACACCATATGCCATCATAGTCTTAACGTCACGAGTTAAAGCTTGGGTTACATATCTTGAGATAGTATTTAAAGAGAATTTTATTAACTGGGATTTGAATAATTTCACATTTTAAAATATGGAACGCCGCTTCTATCTTGATCAAATACGAATAGTTAGATTTAACTGCTCCAAACAAGTTTACTTTCGACTAGGCCATCTCTGGTATGATTTTAAATCAAAGTACATTTATTTGAAGGTATGAAGACCAAGATGGTGTGGCCTTATGTGTGGTCGCAGTCTCCTTTCGTAGTATAGTGGTTGTGGTATGGTTGTGTGGACGTGGTATATTCTCAGACGTTTCACCGGCATCGTAGTCGGCATTGTCAATGAGTCTTGCCATTCGTAGCACCATATTACACCTCGTCAAAGAGACAAGTGAAGCCGATCCTTTGACCAAACGTGTGCTAAACAGTTGTTGTATCTTCCCTTCTGCCCTGGCCTATTCACATTTCCTATATCCTCCTAGCATGCCTTCCCTGTCACAATTTTTTACCGTGCTTATTTTTAATGTAGTGTGGTGTGCTCCTTCGAGTGGCAGTCATGACAACCCTTTCACACTCCACACTGTC